ATTTATTTATTTACTTACTTACTTACTTATTTATTTTAATGAAACCCTATTTGCCCCAATCTGAAGACAAAAGGAGTAGATACATGCAAAAAATACTGTGATACCGAAAACGAAAGTACTGTAAATACAAGTTTGGTTCTAAAGAATAAAATTTAATACATTTGTTTGGAGACTTCCCTATCCTTAATTTAAATCATCATAAGTAGTGGTATTTGATCTTTTATATGCAATACAGACATACTTATCTTCTTGCTGCCACATTTATAATCAGAGAACACTGGGTTGTGCACATGGTGTTCCCTATATACCAATTTTATCCTCATTCAATTACATGAGTTTTGTCTCTGCTTCCTTCAATGGGGGGATGGTAGAGCGAGGGGACTGATTCCTCAAGGTAGCCCCCCGCCCACCCCAGTGTCTGTTGCTGCTTATATCACATTTTCATTTTAATGTAAAACTCCCTGACCAGGTGAAGTGTTAATGCTTTTCCCCACCCGCATACTGATCTTCTGTGATATCACTAATCCCCTTCAAATGACTTTGCCTATGACTGTGCAATCTCATATGTATCTCCTCAGATGTTTATTGCAACATGTTTGATAGGGCTCCTTTCCCAGGTAAGTGGGTATAGACTTGTAGACTACAGTGCAATTTCAGCCCAAAGCATGCTACCTTTGACAATGCCCAAAGCTGTAGATCTTCCAAGGTCCCCCATCCCCTGCCTACAACCCTAACCACCTCTCCTTCCATTGCTGTTGCTGCTGCATCACTCCATCTAGCCCTATCCTCTTGCTCTTCTACTTTTTAAAGCAAATTTAACAGTAAAACACCTTCCTCTTTCTCACTCCCCCACTGGTTACCTGGTTTTCTACTTGCTACGAAGGCCATTGTTTCACCAGTCAACCAAGAAGGGTCCAGTGAAGGCACAGGTTCTTACTGCTCCCAGCTCCTCAGCAGCCACACATCCCCAAAGGCAACATCTGTTTGGATCAGCTTGCTAACATTCCCACATTTCAAAGCCTATGATTGCCATTGTAGGCTCCATCAGCCAGGGTCCAGCCAGCCTAGCATATCATGACTTGTTGCAGCTAGGCCACTGGGACATGTCCTTCAGGGACCCCATCCTGCAGGTCCACAGAACTTCAGCCTGGAGCTTGATCCTGATACAGTGTAACTGACCCTAGTAGATATACCTTATTTAATTGAGTTCTTTCTTTGTTACCGCCATCAAGAATATTTTTCAAAAACAGGCTTTACTGTTTGGATTTTTTTTAACCAAATACCCTCCCTTTGTCTTGTGATTAGGTAATTGACATTAAAGAAAAACTAAAGCTTTCCAAAAAGTTCTGGTCTACATTACCCTACACCATCTGCAAGGAAGAAACAGTGACTGCTGGCATGTCCAATGAAGAGGACTGTTGGAATGGACATACCAAAGCTAAGTAAGTGGGAGAAGACATAAAAACAATATTTGCAGGTGAAACTCCCATGCAGCTCTGCAGGGTGTAGCAGGCGTTGCTCTGTGTTGTAACTCTCTGTCAAATGAACACAAGGAACATTGGCATGCCTTGCCCAGAACTAATGAAAATGTCTCTCTCCACCGTAATTGGAATACTTTGAAAAAATACATACAAATGCCAGAAATCCCAGAATCTTGCAGTTCTTCACAGTATCAATTTCAAAACCCATGCCACAAGCCATAATAGATTTATAACATTATTAATATATGATGTGTAAGAAACAACTTGCATAACTTACATCTTTTTAAAAAACATGTTGAGAGGAATTTGTGTGTGTGTGTGAATGAAGAGTAAAATGGAAAGATTAGGCCTATGCTGAGAAGGCTTGCCAAATTTGATATTTTAACCCACGTCAGACAGAAGGGAGAGGGTTGTTAAAGGAGATACCAAAAGAAGAAGAAGCTTCTCAATGCTTTTTTTCTGTAAACCTATATGCATTTTTGAAGAACACAGTTAGCAGTATGGATTTATGGATCACCATAGTCATTTTTTATTTTTGCTATAAAAACATCATCAGTTGGTGAGTAGTACCAGAAAGTATTGGTCTTGGACTCTAAAACTGCTACTCGGTTATTCATCATTTCTAAATTTCTGACTCCATGACTAACTACATGTACCAATTTGTCCTTCAGGAATTTCTTCAGGCTCATCACTACATTCTGGAACACATTTTGAGGTGCACAAATTGAATGCTTTATTAGGCTTGTTAGCTTTCTAACAGTCTACATCAGCGTTGTCCAAACTTGGCCACTTTAA